TTATATACATCCTGGAGTGACTTACTGGTACCCATGTTACTCATTATATACATCCTGGAGTGACTTACTGGTACCCATGTTACTCATTATATATAACCTGGAGTGACTTACTGGTACCCATGCCATGCTACATACCTGGTTACTCATTATATACATCCTGGAGTGACTTACAACTGGTTACTGGTACCCATGTTACTCATTATATATAACCTGGAGTGACTTACTGGTACCCATGCTACAACAGGTTACTCATTATATACATCCTGGAGTGACTTACTGGTACCCATGTTACTCATTATATACAACCTGGAGTGACTTACTGGTACCCATGCTACAACAGGTTACTCATTATATACATCCTGGAGTGACTTACTGGTACCCATGTTACTCATTATATATAACCTGGAGTGACTTACTGGTACCCATGCTACAACAGGTTACTCATTATATACATCCTGGAGTGACTTACTGGTACCCATGTTACTCATTATATACAACCTGGAGTGACTTACTGGTACCCATGTTACTCATTATATACAACCTGGAGTGACTTACTGGTACCCATGCTACAACAGGTTACTCATTATATACAACCTGGAGTGACTTACTGGTACCCATGTTACTCATTATATATAACCTGGAGTGACTTACTGGTACCCATGCTACAACAGGTTACTCATTATATACAACCTGGAGTGACTTACTGGTACCCATGTTACTCATTATATATAACCTGGAGTGACTTACTGGTACCCATGTTACTCATTATATACATCCTGGAGTGACTTACTGGTACCCATGTTACTCATTATATACAACCTGGAGTGACTTACTGGTACCCATGTTACTCATTATATACAACCTGGAGTGACTTACTGGTACCCATGTTACTCATTATATACAACCTGGAGTGACTTACTGGTACCCATGCTACAACAGGTTACTCATTATATACATCCTGGGTGACTTACTGGTACCCATGTTACTCATTATATACAACCTGGGTGACTTACTGGTACCCATGCTACAACAGGTTACTCATTATATACATCCTGGAGTGACTTACTGGTACCCATGTTACTCATTATATACATCCTGGAGTGACTTACTGGTACCCATGTTACTCATTATATACAACCTGGAGTGACTTACTGGTACCCATGCTACAACAGGTTACTCATTATATACATCCTGGAGTCACTTACTGGTACCCATGTTACTCATTATATACAACCTGGAGTGACTTACTGGTACCCATGTTTCACCTAATCTCATGACACAGGTTACTCATTATATACAACCTGGAGTGACTTACTGGTACCCATGTTACTCATTATATACAACCTGGAGTGACTTACTGGTACCCATGTTACTCATTATATACAACCTGGAGTGACTTACTGGTACCCATGTTTCATTATATACATCCTGATCTCGACTGGTACACATGTTACACAATACACAGCAGCCCTGCTGCTGTTGAAGACGCTACCACGGTAACAATTCACTGATATTGATAACACAATATAGGGTAGGCAATATTGACATATAGACATATATAGTGAGAATAAGAGTGAATAGACATTGTTATTGCACTCCATTATGGCAATACAGTGAAACCTGTCTAAACCGGAACCCCACGGTACAGAAATATAATGCCAGTTTAGACAGGGTGCCGGATTAGACATTAATGATCATAAAATCATTGTAAAATGGCCGGACCAAAATTTTATGCTGGTTTTGACAGTATGCCGGATTAGACAGGTGCCGGTGTTGGCAGGTTTCACTGTATATACATATGTATTATTACACCACAGAACGCCAGTGAACACGTTATTACACTACTGTATGCCAGTGTATATATCCGTTACTACACTACTGTATGCCAGTGTATATATCCGTTATTACACTACTGTATGCCAGTGTATATATCTGTTATTACACTACTGTATGCCAGCATATATATCTGTTATTACACTACTGTATGCCAGTGTATATATCTGTTATTACACTACTGTATGCCAGCGTATATATCTGTTATTACACTACTGTATGCCAGTGTATATATCTGTTATTACACTACTGTATTCCAGTCCATTATAAAATATATACATAGGTATTATTACACCACAGAACGTCAGTGTATACGTTATTACACTATTGTATGCCAGTGCATATATCCGTTATTACACTACTGTATGCCAGTGTATATATGTTATTACACTACTGTATGCCAGTGTATATATGTTATTACACTACTGTATGCCAGTCCATTGTGGCAATATATACATAGGTATTATTACACCACAGAATGTCAGTGTATACGTTATTACACTACAGTATGCCAGAGTATATCTGTTATTACACCTCAGAATGCCAGTGTATACGTTATTACACTACTGCATGCCAGTGTATACGTTATTACACTACTGTATGCCAGTGTATATATATGTTATCACACTACTGTATGCCAGTGTATATAAGTTATTACACCACAGAACGCCAGTGTATATGTTAATACACTACTGTATGCCGGTGTATACGTTATTACACTACTGTATACCAGTGTATACGCTTATTACACTACTGTATACCAGTATATACGTCATTATACTACTGTATGCCAGTGTATATATGTTATTACACCACAGAACGCCAGTGTATACCTTATTACACTACTGTATGTCAGTGTATACGTTATTACACTACTGTATGCCAGTGTATACGTTATTACACTACTGTATGCCAGTGTATACGTTATTACACTACTGTATGCCAGTGTATACATTATTACACTACTGTATGCCAGTGTATCCGTTATCACAATACTGTATGCCAGTGTATATATATGTTATTACACTACTGTATGCCAGTGTATACATTATTACACTACTGTACACCAGTGTATATATCTGTTATTACACTACTGTATGCCAGTGTATATATCTGTTATTACACTACTGTATGCCAGCATATATATCTGTTATTACACTACTGTATGCCAGTGTATGTATCTGTTATTACATTACTGTATGCCAGTGTATATATCTGTTATTACACTACTGTATGCCAGTGTATATATCTGTTATTACACTACTGTATGCCAGCATATATATCTGTTATTACACTACTGTATGCCAGTGTATGTATTTGTTATTACACTACTGTATGCCAGTATATATATATCTGTTATTACACTACTGTATGCCAGTGTATGTATCTGTTATTACACTACTGTATGCCAGTATATATATATCTGTTATTACACTACTGTATGCCAGTATATATATCTGTTATTACACTACTGTATTCCAGTGTATATGTTATTACACTACTGTATTCCAGTGTTTATATGTGTTATTACACTACTGTATGCCAGTGTATATATCTGTTATTATACTACTGTATGCCAGCATATATATTTGTTATTACACTAATGTATGCCAGCGTATATATCTGTTATTACACTACTGTATGCCAGCATATATATTTGTTATTACACTACTGTATGCCAGTTTATGTATCTGTTATTACAGTACTGTATGCCAGTATATATCTGTTATTACACTACTGTATGTCAGCATATATATCTGTTATTACACTACTGTATGCCAGTGTATGTATGTTATTACACTACTGTATGCCAGTATATATATATGTTATTACACTACTGTATGCCAGTGAATATATCTGTTATTATACTACTGTATGCCAGCATATATATTTGTTATTACACTGGGCGGTGGGGTAGCCTAGTGGTTAAAGCGTTGTCTCGTCACGTCGAAGACCCGGGTTCGATTCCCCACATGGGCACAATGTGTGAAGCCCATTTCTGGTGTCCCCCGCCGTGATATTGCTGGAATATTGCTAAAAGCGGCGTAAAACTAAACTCAGTCAGTCAGTTGTTATTACACTACTGTATGCCAGTGTATGTATCTGTTATTACACTACTGTATGCCAGTATATATATGTTATTACACTACTGTATGCCAGCATATATATCTGTTATTACACTACTGTATGCCAGTGTATGTATCTGTTATTACACTACTGTATGCCAGTATATATATATCTTTTATTACACTACTGTATGCCAGTGTATGTATCTGTTATTACACTACTTTATGCCAGCATATATATGTTATTACACTACTGTATGCCAGTGTATATGTTATTACACTACTGTATGCCAGTGTATATATCTGTTATTACACTACTGTATGCCAGTGTATATATCTGTTATTACACTACTGCATGCCAGTGTATATATCTGTTATTATACTACTGTATGTCAGTGCATACAGCTATGTCAGTACACTTCACAAGGTGTATGCAGCTACATAATGCGAGTGTACATATGTTATTACACTACATCATGCCAGTACATATATGTTATTACACTACATGTCAGTGTATATGTTCTTACACTACATAAAGTCAGTGTATTGCTATAACACTACATAACGTCAGTGTATATATGCTATAACACTACATAACGTCAGTGTATATATGCTATAACACTACATAACGTCAGTGTGTATATGCTATAACACTACATAACGTCAGTGTATATATGCTATAACACTACATAACGTCAGTGTATATATGCTATAACACTACATAACGTCAGTGTATATATGCTATAACACTACATAACGTCAGTGTATATATGCTATAACACTACATAACGTCAGTGTATATATGCTATAACACTACATAAAGTCAGTGTATGTCTGGGTATTACTGAACATAATGTCATTGTTCAGAGGCGTTGATATATGCAATGTGACAATATATTTCTATGTTGCTACTCACCATGGCTATGCATAAAAAGTTCCTAATGTCACTGCATACATATGTGTGATCTCTGGTATTGCTTTCACGATTTTTGTGCAAGCATCATCACTTGCTTAGGGTTGCATTTTTTTAGCTATATGAATATTTGTAATGCGATTGAATCTAGTAGTTCGGATGTATGTTAAATGGTTTGCTCTACTTACCCCTAGTTTGGTCATCTGTTCATTGAGAGACTTAATCCACTCGTCCAGGAAGTCCGCAGAATGGTAATAGTGGAGGTAAAACCAGTTTAGCGCTGTGTTAAACCACTGACAGGTTTCAATGCCGGGCGCCTTGGGAAGTGCAGGTTTGGCACCGACCTCCTTCGCACGCAGTGTCTCCGACGGCAGACGACGTTGCAGAGGACCCACGAAAGATACGAATGAGTTGATGACAATGACAATCACTGAACACCAACAAAACCAGCCTATCAACAAAATATCCAAGAAATGATCTTCCCATCGAAGCTTGGAATACCATGTTGCTGCTGCTTCCGCCATCTTGCTAGAGCTCTCCCCAAGTTTGTACCAAATGAGACGAAGGGTTATATCTGCCATGGTGTATTTTTGGAAGCAGGTTGGGCCAATCGGGGCCCCCTTGATGAAACCTGATCGCTGGCAGCTGCACCGTCTTCCCATAAACCGGCACGCAGCTTCCACGAGCTGCAGGAGGGTGGATTTCGCCGAGCGAGCACGCGAGGAATGTTATGAGTGTTTTCCCGTTTTTCGTGACGTATTATTAATTTCAGCCAATCAGCGTGCTCGGATAATACGAGCTAGGGGATTCCATTAGGGGATGCCCTCGTGACGAGTTTGACAGGTGTTGTGAATCTACACCGGCGAGTGCGCTACCGGTTCACCTTGAAGCTGTTCCGGCGATGTTAATTAATATCTCGCCATGTTGCTAGCCATTGTATTTCGCACAGCTTAGCAGAGCTGCTGAGAAAACATCTCCACCTGGCGGAGAGCTTATTGGACAATGTGTTACTCTATCGATCAAGCATTGAATAAGTGATTAATTGATTAGGAGATTCAGACGTGAACTTTGGAGCGGTGGGCTGTAAGGTTGCTACCAACTAGAAGGTTACTATAGGGAACAATGTAATGGCCTAGCTAGTCACTGGTGCTGAAGGCAATATTTGGAAACACCGTTACAGAACGGCGTTAGTACCAGGCAGTACAGAACAGCGTTATTACCAGGAAGTACAGAACAGCGTTAGTACCAGGAAGTACAGAACAGCGTTAGTACCAGGAAGTACAGAACAGCGTTAGTACCAGGAAGTACAGGTACCAGGAAGTACAGAACAGCGTTAGTACCAGGAAGTACAGAACAGCGTTAGTACCAGGAAGTACAGAACAGCGTTAGTACCAGGAAGTACAGAACAGCGTTAGTACCAGGAAGTACAGAACAGCGTTAGTACCAGGAAGTACAGAACAGCGTTAGTACAGAACAACGTTAGTACCAGGAAGTACAGAACAGCGTTAGTACCAGGAAGTACAGAACAGCGTTAGTACCAGGGAGTACAGAACAGCGTTAGTACCAGGAAGTACAGGAAGTACAGTACACAGAACAGCGTTAGTACCAGGGAGTACAGAACAGCGGTACAGAACAGCGTTAGTACCAGGAAGTACAGAACAGCGTTAGTACCAGGGAGTACAGAACAGCGTTAGTACCAGGAAGTACAGAACAGCGTTAGTACCAGGAAGTACAGAACAGCGTTAGTACAGAACAACGTTAGTACCAGGAAGTACAGAACAGCGTTAGTACCAGGAAGTACAGAACAGCGTTAGTACCAGGAAGTACAGAACAGCGTTAGAACCAGGAAGTACAGAACAGCGTTAGTACCAGGAGGTACAGAACAGCGTTAGTACCAGGGAGTACAGAACAGCGTTAGTACCAGGAAGTACAGAACAGCGTTAATACAGAACAACGTTAGTACCAGGGAGTACAGAACAGCGTTAGTACCAGGGAGTACAGAACAGCGTTAGTACCAGGGAGTACAGAACAGCGTTAGTACCAGGGACTACAGAACAGCGTTAGTACCAGGAAGTACAGAACAGCGTTAGTACCAGGAAGTACAGAACAGCGTACGTTAGTACCAGGAAGTACAGAACGAGTTAAAACCATGTTGTTTATTTCTACACATTTAGTTCGTCACTACCTAGTCACGTGGTCACGCGGATAGGGTCGAGGGAAGACAACTGAGATCCTGAAACGTGCAGATCGGCGGAAAGCTGACCGCCATACACGGGACAAAGAGATTCCGTGATACATTTATAAGAACATGAAACTGTGTTGACTGTTTGTAAATGCGTCCACAGCAGTATTCCAAATAATCCAGTGATTGATATAATGAGCACCGCCCAACGCCGTCGGGGCGCGATGTCCAGTATCAACCACGTCAACAAGTTGTCGGTGGACTGTACAATGGGGACACCTAAGGAAATATCCCGTCCCTGGAGTGGCCATTACCCGACTTCTGTTTGGGGTGTTGTAACCGCCTTCGCCTAAATCATTTGTAGAATGTTAAAACGAGTGCATCTTCTATGCCTATATTCCAATATTAACTGTGATTAACACACTCGAAGAAAGTGCATTGCGATTCTCTCTGAAACGCAATGTATGGCGATAGTACGGGCGTCTTTGTTGTCTGCGGTGCAGTGTCGTGTCCCCTATGTGCGCCCGGATCCACTGATCCGGGTTCAAATGTAGTGCAGTGGTAAGGCGTATGCCTATCACGTTGAAGGCCCGGGATCGATCCCCGGTGGAGGCACTTTGGTTCGGGTCCGATGTGGGCACATTTGCGTAGTATTCTTGGACAAGATACTTAGATTCATATTGTCTCAGTTCACCTAGCTGTAAAATGGGTACCCGTGAGGATTTGCTGACAATATGAGTGTATAGTTTATTGCGCCTAACAGGCAGCATGGCTGCAAGATCCCCAGGGAGTTGAAAAAGTATCGGAAAGTACGATTACTATATTACTATTAGAAATGCCTGTTTGATTCTGGTGTCTTTGCGCCGAATGTACACTGTAGTACTAATTAGAAAAATATCTGTAAAGCGAGATGGTGACAAACCGTCGTAAAACTGAAACATGCGACGTCAAACTTGGTCTTCCTTGTTTGAGAGACTCGTGAAGATCCGGGTTACAACTGATCTTCAGTAACCCATGCTTGCCGTAAGAGGTGACTGACAGGATCGGGTGGTTCCATACGATGACTTGTTTGACACATGTCATCGTATCCGAATTACGAATATCGATGCTCATGCTTCTTGTCTGTTTATCACTGGATTGTGTGGTCCAGACTCAATTATTTACATACCGCCGCCATTGTATTGTTTTGAGATGTGGGTGTATGGCTAAGCCTCCTCTTATTCATGAAATATCAACTCGAAGTCTCAATTGTTTAATCCAGAACTCCACTGTTACAACAGGGTTCCAACACATAGATGAAAGTCACTTCCGACTTGATGAAACGTTCATGAGAAATAGATGTAACTGCGTTGAAACTCAAGCATAACCTAGCATAGTCCTAGATTAAAGTAATTTCAAACTTTGAAACAGCCATATAGCTGTAATATTGCTGAGTGTGGCGTAAAACTAAACTCAGACCATCACCTATACCTCCACTAACACGTAGACCATCACCTATACCTCCACTAACACGTAGACCACCATCTATACCTCCACTAACATGTAGACCATCATCTATACCACCACTAACACGTAGAACATCACCTATACCACCACTAATACATAGACCAACACCTATACCACCACTAACACGTACACCATCACCTATACCACCACAAACACGTAGACCATCACCTATACCACCACTAACATATAAACCAATACCTATACACCACTAACACGTAGACCATCACCTATACCTCCACTAACACGTAGACCACCATCTATACCTCCACTAACATGTAGACCATCATCTATACCACCACTAACACGTAGAACATCACCTATACCACCACCAATACATAGACCAACACCTATACCACCACTAACAAGTACACCATCACCTATACCACCACAAACACGTAGACCATCACCTATACCACCACTAACATATAAACCAATACCTATACACCACTAACACGTAGACCATCATCTATACCACCACTAACACGTAGACCATAATTTATACCACCACTAACACGTAGACAATCATCTATACCGCCACTAACACGTAGATCATCACCTATACCACCACTAACACGTAGACCATCATCTATACCACCACTAACATGTAGACCATCACCTATACCACCACTAACATGTAGAACGTCACGTATACCTCCACTAACACGTAGACCAGAATCTATACCACCAATAACACGTAGACCATCATCTATACCACCACTAACACGTAGACCATCACCTATACCACCAGTAACACGTAGACCACCAACTATACATGCACTAACACGTAGTCCATCATCTATACCACCACTAACACGTAGACCATCACCTATACCTCCACTAACACGTAGACCATCATCTATACCACCAGTGACACGTAGACCATCACCTATACCACCACTAACACGTAGACCATCACCTACACCTCCACTAACACGTAGACCATCATCTATACCGCCACTAACACGTAGACCAACATCTATTCAACCATTAACACATAGACCATCACCTATACCACCACTAACATGTAGACCATCACCTATACCACCACTAACACGTACACGCAATCATCTTTACCACCAATAACAAGTACACCACCATCTAAGCCTCCACTTACACGTAGACCATCACCTATACCACCAGTAACACGTAGACCACCACCTATACATCCACTAACACGTAGACCATCATCTATACCACCACTAACACGTAGACCATCACCTATACCACCACTAACACGTAGACCATCACCTATACCACCACTAACACGTAGACCATCATCTATACCTCCACTAACACGTAGACCATCACCTATACCTCCACTAACACGTAGACCATCATCTATACCTCCACTAACACGTAGACCATCACCTGTACCTCCACTAACACGTAGACCATCATCTATACCGCCACTAACACGTAGACCAACATCTATTCAACCTTTAACACATAGACCATCACCTATACCACCACTAACACGTAGCACACCACCTATACCTCCACTAACACGTAGACCATCACCTATACCACCACTAACACGTACACCATCATCTTTACCACCAATAACAAGTACCCAACCATCTTAACCTCCACTTACACGTAGACCATCATCTATACCACCACTAACACGTAGACCATCACCTATACCTCCACTAACACGTAGACCATCATCTATACCACCACTAACACGTAGACCATCATCTATACCACCACTAACACGTAGACCATCACCTATACCACCACTAACACGTAGACCATCACCTATACCACCACTAACACGTAGACCATCACCTATACCACCACTAACACGTAGACCATCATCTATACCACCACTAACACGTAGACCATCATCTATACCACCATTAACACGTAGACCATCATCTATACCACCATTAACACGTAGACCCACACCATTAACACGTAGACCATCACCTATACCACCACTAACACGTAGACCATCATCTATACCACCATTAACACGTCACCTATACCTCCATCACCACCTATACCACCACTAACACGTAGACCATCACCTATACCACCAATAACAAGTAGACCATC